ATCGGTTATTTTGGTTTATTTTAAATTTATTTTCTATATAATTCATTTCAAGTAATTCAATTAAACGACCAAGTAATCAGTTATTTTGGTTCTGTAAAAATGATAATTGGGTTTAGTCTGAACCGACCTATTAACATCCCCATCATGGGTGTTGTTCTAGTTCAACCTTCGACCAGATTATATCATATCTACCACAAGAGCTCGATTAGCTTGAAAGAAGTTTGATTGGTTATTTGTACTTGATAGCTCGGTGAAAACTTGGACACTTGAACACAACATGCTCCACTCTTAGGTCGAGTCGCCTCAACTCGACCAAAATAGGGAGACAAGATGATATGGTGTATATATCATACCTACTAGCTTGTATAGTTCGGTGAAAACTTGATCGTTTGAACACAGCTGAACAACTCGGTTAGAGCTCAGGAAGCGCACTAACTTAGAATAGCTTGGAACCAGGTCAAAGAAGATTAGAACATAGTTGGGTCGAGTAAGATTCTAGGATAGTCCGACAGAAACTCAACCTAGAGCTTTTAAACAACCTCAAAGAAAGATCTACATCAAATTAAACTAAATTAGTTAAAGGGTGATGGAGCTACTTAGCTCGATCGAGCAAAGGACAACTACCTGAACAAGTAGAGAGTGTGAACATAAATAGATAAGAATGAGTGTGGATACGATTAGATAAGATAACACTTGGACAACAAAAATGTTTGGGTAACAAAGTTAGGTAGATATAGGGCAATACGGGTAGTTAGGCAGCAAGATCGGACAAATCTTGGGCAACCCGGAGACTCAGGCAGTGAGATCGGACAAATCTTGAACACCAAGATAATGATTCTATATTACAGGGTGAGGTATGAGAACCACTTATTTTTCTTCTCTATAAACATTCTAAGTTGTACTTCATATAAATACTTCCACCACCGAAAGCTGATTTGAACTTTGAAGCTTCTATGCTGGGACACTTTCAACGTCATTCAAGCAGTTCAAAAACGTTTCAAGCAACATTAAATCGGATCGAAATTGCTATGGCACACCACCAGTGTACATTATGTTATCCGGCCCACTAAACTTTACAACAATAAAACACAAATGGGCCTTTTCTATGGGCTAATAGCTAGTTGTACCCAACCCAATGAATTTATATTTAATAATTATGCAATTGGAAGAATAATAATATATTATGCTTTAGTTTTAGTTATTTTAGTTGGGTTGTAGAAAAAAAAAATCATGAATGAAAATTAACATTTTGTTAATCGAATCGCCATCTAAAGCACTTTCTCTTATTGTCACTTGTCACATAAACCAAAGAAAAATCGAAGAAAAACTGATACTAAATGAGGTGTATTTAATTAGGATTTCAAGCCACATTTTAAGACTTTTTTAAATTTAATTTTTTGTTTTAAATTTTCAATTTTTGGAAGAATTCTGTGTAATCTTTTAAATTTGGAGGTGATATTTCGTATAAGGTATTTTGTTTAGAAATTTCACCAAATTTTTAAAAAGTCTAAACAAATCTTACTCTCAAATCGTAAGACTTTTTAGATGTACCACCACAGTGGTTACAGAATGACCGTTTTGGAATTGCATATCCACCTAATGTATTAGTCTAAGACGTTGTTAGGCGATTCGCCTCCTTCCTTGCACCAAAAAAGTTTCAATTGAATATCTCAAAACTGTTGAATGTCTTGACAAATTTAATTTTAATACAACAAAAATTCAAAATTGTAAAGTCTTAAAAAAATCTTTAAAAATGAATATACTTCCTTAAAAACTTATCCAATCATGTCGGCATTTAACTTTCAAGTATGTCCGAACTTTGAAGTTGACCTAAGATATGCGAACAAGTTGTCCATTATTACAACCAAAAAAAAAAAAAAATCTTTTAAATTTAGGATGCATTTGTGAACGTGACAATTATTCTCGTCATTAACGTTGGTGTACCCTTGAATCCTTTTATTTTTTTATTTTTTTTATCTGTAAATTAAAGACATATAGATAAAAAATGGTGCTACAACGGCCGTCCAACGACAAATAAAAAGACTAGTGGGTAACTACATACTCGGTTCCTCACTCGCTAATCAAAATAATGAGAGGCTAAAACCCTTAAAAAAATTCCAAATAAGAGTCCAAATAGAAGTTAGGTCAATCCAATCCCACGTGCCTTGAATCCTTTTATCATTGCTAGTTGAAGTGGGATAATGGCTCTTACTCATCGGAGTTTGAATTTTGCTACAATGTATGTCAAATATTTCTGCATAATTACAAAATTAGAATTTAATATTACATAGATAGCAAAAATTAATTAAAAAGGCTTTCAATTTGAATTTGAATTTAATATTACATATTTACAAAATTTGAATTTAATATCCCATACATTATTTCAAGAACTAAACAAAATAAAGTTAAACAATATCTTACAACATTAATTAAAGTCAAATTATAAATTGATTTTGCAAGACGTAAAGTACGTAAAATCCAAATAATATATCATGCTTCATAGGAATGTATTTTTCAAACCAAAATTATATTATTAATTAACGAGGAAAACAAGGAAATAAATAGCTCGCTAAAGTTGCCGCTATTTGAGAAATAACTTTTTTTGGCAGCGTGTCGCTATTTGTATTCATGTGCAATTTAGCCGCTAAATCCCGCTAAATCTCCGCTATAGCTCCGCTATAACTACAGTGTCATAAACGTTTTAGCCCGCTATTTAAAACCTTGGAGGAAAATAATAAATCTAAACTCATCAAATACTCAAAATCAAAACATTTCCGATAACTCTTCACTCTTACAAAACAAGTCGTACCAAAAATCACGATCACTTTCCGTATCTAAGTCCGAAACACACACATTCGCAGGTTGAACTTGAAGCCCACAATCACTATTGCCAGATAACAAATCGCTATTGCCACTCCACTCGTCTACGGCGAGAAACTCCGACCAGAACCTTTCGTCCATTAAAGAATCCGACGTCGTGTAGACGTTAGATTCTCCGGAGCTTCCGCCACGAGCGGCCGATGAGATCTCGCCGGAGGAATGTGCCGGCGAATTTTGGCCGGCGTGCTCATTATTTTTCTGGTAAAAAATATCATATTCATTTTTCCGGGTTTTGGTTTTTGACTCGGGTTGACTTGTTCCGTTGACTTTTTTCTTCAAGTGGGTGTGCCAAACATTCTTAATTTCGTTGTCTGTACGGCCCGGCAATCTTGCTGCTATTTCTGACCATCTGAAAATATAATTGTACAAATATTAATAATTTTTTTCTATGGTTAATTCAAGAAAAAACATTATAATTATACAAAACAAATAATATTTCAAAATTCATACATACTTATACAAGGGGACACACAAATTGTATGTTTTTTTATAAAAAAAATTCATTTTTAGTCATGTTGGTTTAACACGTTAGCAATTGTAGTCTCGAAATTCCAATTTTTTGTCTTTTGGTCATGTGACGTAATATTTTGTTGCAATTCAGTCATTTGAGAAATGAGATTGTAACCAAAATTTAAATTAGAGGACTTAAATTGTTGATCGAAAATCAAGGAATTTGAAATGTTGTTGCAATTTCAATCTTCAAAAGGCTAAAATTGTAGCAAACTATTAAATCACATGACTAAAAGGTAAAATGTTTAAATCTTGGGACTAAAACTGTTATGATATTAAATCAACTAAAAATGTAATTTATTTTTTTTTGTTTTTTTATCAAAAAAGCATAATGTTATACTTTAATAATTTTTTACATATTTGTTTAAAAAGTACGATTGTCTAATACTTGTTTATTTTATTTTTTAGACCAGGTTAAGTACCCATGTCGAAAATATGTCTTACTAGCTAACTTCTATTTATTTTATTTCTTAGACTTGCGAAAGTAAGTATATCTATCGAAAAAGTATGATTAACTAACCGTCAGTCCTGTCGAATCACACCTTTTATTCTTCAAAATTAAGATTTTAAATCCAAATAATAAATAAAAGGATTTGTTTCAAAGAGAGAACAAAAATAAACTTGCATTACTTGTTTCCTAGCTCCATATGCAAATTTATTATGATTTCCTCTTCGTCGGAAGTGAAATTGCCTCTCTTAACGTCGGGCCTCAAATAATTCACCCACCGGAGGCGACAACTCTTTCCACATCGCAGCAAGCCTGTGACAAAATATCCATAAGCCCGTGATTAAAATAGATATCCGCTAAAAATTTAAAAGCCCGTAAAAATGGAGATACGGATAGGGATGGATTCATTAGTTATTGGGTTAAAATTACCAGCCCGTTTGGGAAGAGCCCGCCAATTCCCATGGCCATTCCGGTTTATGTAGCGGACGAGTATCTGATCTTCTTCGGCAGTCCACGGGCCTTTCTTCAGGCCCATTTCCTCGCAGCATGGAGCCCGGCCCATTAGATTCTCCTCTTTTGAAGTTATTTATCAGATTAAAATTGAAATTTGTGTGTGTGTGTGTGTGTGTGTGTGTGTGTGTTTTAATGTATGAACTTCTTCATTTGAGGTGACCTCTGTTGTAAAAAATGTGTGAAAAAATGTGAACTTTTGAAATGGAGTTGGGAATCGAATTAGTTGCCATTGGATATTTATATAGTGATTAATGGGCCCTCGTGAGAGCACCAAATGGGCTCCATTTGTATTTAATATTGAGCACAACTAGCAAATTTAGAAATATAATAAATATTATTATTTTTTATTTTTATTTTTTATTTTATTTTTGGTTTCGAGGAAATTGGCAAAATGCTAACAAATGTAATTTAAAAAAAGAAAAACGTGACTTTTGTAATTTGTAGTGAGGGTCCAATTGGGACTCCATTACATGTATAAACTATAATATACATTTACACACATGTCTTTATTATTTTGTATAATAATAATAATAATAATAATAATAATAATAATAATAATAATAATAATAATAATAATAATAATAATAATAATAATAATAATAATAATAATAATAATGTGAGTTCATGTGGATTCGATACTATTATTAAGTTAAAATTAAAAAATATCGATTATCTTCTAAGAATTTAACTAGAAAATAATGAAATCAAACCCCTTGTGGCATTGTGTTTCGGTATTGCCTAAAGGACACGGCGATTGGAGGTGATGAAGCTGACTGAGAGCTATAGACGTGCAGCGGCAGCCTACACAAAAACAGGAGCCTTCTTGCTAGTTACGCGTCTGATTTGTTGGGTTCCACCGGATTCGAAATGGGTTAAAATAAACACTGACGGTGCTTTCGATTTTCTTACGGGCTTGAACAATGCGGGCGGTCTAAATCGAGATGAGATTGATAGAGGGCTTCCTCATGAATATTGGTCTTTTTACCATTACGGGGGCGGAACTCTAGGGTCTTTTCCAGGGACTGTAGTTGGTTTAGGACTTGGGGTATAGACAAGTTATTGTCGAGGCCAATGCGTGACGAAAATGATTCTTGGGTCTAAAGGATCTTTTGGTGTGCATGAAGCGATGGTTCAAGCAATTCGTAGTATGGTCCGGCGGGAGTGGGATATAAGGATCCAACACGTGCACAGGGAAGCGAACTTTGTAGCCGATTATGTGGCGAGTGTGGCGGCGTCTGGCCCGATTGGATGACAGCGGGTATCCTCCCAGGCATGGGAGCATGGCTCGAGCATGATCTTATTGGAGTGTCGTATCCCCGTCGAGTTTTAGCCTAGGCCTTCGGCCTCCTTCATTGTATCGAAAAAAAAAAAGAAGTCCTCAAATGAAAAATCTGGGCTTGGTAAAATTAGCGGATAGCCACGATAAGCTAGCTTACAGTTTATATGTAACTATGAAACTAATATCTTATACTTTATGACTTATAGTTGAAAAGCTAGTTTATATGATAAAAGTATTTAATAAAATTAGCTGATAAGCTAGCTGAGATACAAATTCAACTAACTTATTTGAAAAAGTTAGCTAAAGAAGCTTATAAAATAAGCTCGAGCTTTTTAAAAAAAAGCTCCTTCTATCAAACGGAGCTTATTTGAATATAGAGAACTTATAAGCTAACCAAATAAGTTATAAGCTAGTTTATTGATTAAAACATACTAGTAAAATTTAGATAGTTTTGAGAAAGTGTTATCTGTATATTTTTTTTTCTATTCATTTGGTCCCATTTTCATACTATAATTAGGACAAAGAATAATTCCGCCTATGTTGTTTTAACATAGCAAATTTTAGACTCTGGAAAAGAAGAAGGGTTGTGATAGACTTGACGAGCCAACATAAAATCTAGTCGTTCTATAGAGATAGAAACACAATTAGGACAAAGAATTTTATGTACATGTGAATACTAACTTTTAGGATTAGAAATATTCAATTTACTGGGAGAATGGTCAAACAAAGAGGCTAACCTTGTATTGCTGTTGAAATAGCTGCTATGCAACTTGTCAAATATATGAGACTTGTCTTTGGTTTCTCCATATCCATATCATCATCATGCTATAAAAATGTTGTGATGATGAAGTTTGAAAATGCATGCACATAGAGACTTATTTACAAATATTTTAAATAATATAATATATATATATATTATACTTTACAAATCTCAATCGTAAATGAATTATTATAGCTAAAAAGTTTTTAGAACTTTTAAAAATATCAAATAAGTACCTCAAAAATTTTTAAATTCTTAAAAAATTTAAATTAACTACACCAACATTTCTAAAATCTCGATAAACTTTTAGAAAACCTCAAACTAAATACTTTTTATTAGTTATTAATTAACTTTTTCTTTTTTTTATATAATATATAAAACTACCGTGTAATAAAAGCGTGAGAAAAAGATAAGTAGATTAAATTAATGCGTGTATATACCACTCAAAAAGTGGAAGTTTTACTCGTGCTATGATTAGTGTAGAGAGGCTGCGTCAAAACACTTAGCTCATAGAACATTTGTTAATCCACTTTGTCTTATTTTAACTAGTACGGACCCTCTGCGATGCACGAGCTATATTTATTTTGGTAAAATTTATAATTGACGGCTATTAATCAATAAGTTACATAGAACATTTGTTAGACAATCGTAAAATGATAATCATGAAAAAATTATACATTATTAAAAAGCTCTTTGTTTTTCCATGCAAAATTATTTTTCACTTGGTAACCATAAATCGATATTTACCAAGATTGTTCTCCACTTGGTAATTGTAAATTGCATAGACATCTCATTCCTTTATTTTTTGTTGATTTTCGGAATGTTACCACCATCAAATAAAACTATAGTGAAAATAGGTAATATTGTGATAAATACTAAAGAGAAGATTATCTGGTGAAGTTTAATTTTATATCGAGTATAAGGAAAATTGTTACCTTAAAGTTAAATTGTAGATTTTGAGTATATATTTTTTTTTTTTTTGTCAATCATTCTCATTTTTTATGCCAAATTCATTCCAAAAATTGAGAACGATTTTGTTTTGTTATGTTTTAACAGAGATTTGGAATTCTGGTTTATCTTTTGTAAAACATATTTATAAAAATAATTACGTTTAAAAGATAATCTTGCAACTCTACTATGCCAACAAAAAAATGTATGAAAAAAAACATAAGTATTAATTTATTATGTTTTTACTCAATACAAGAAATATAATATATATATAAAAATTAGCGATTAATTCTCTATAATTGCTCAATCAAATCTATATATTTTAACTAAGAATTTCGAAAGTTTTTATAATACCCCCATATTTGTTTCCATAAAACTAAATCATCCTAAATTTAAATTCAACTAATAAAGGTAATAACCATAAATATTTGACTAAAAAGATTATGTACATTAATTATATTAATTTTTGTTAATTTACTATTTTTAGACTATAATTAATGAAATTGGCGAGAAAATGTGTGTAAAAGTGAATTATGTTAATCCTTATTATATATTAACTAGTACAACGCCTGTGTATTACACGGGAGCTTGCTAATTTTTTTTTCTTAAAATCTAAAATTACTGAGAAACGGGAGTTGAAAATTTAAATACCTTTTAAAAATATTTATATTATTATATTTTGTATGACACTTTTTATTTGTGCGACTTACTTGTGTTATATTATAATAAGTTTTTAACTTACAACATATAACTACGTTAAACATGAATATATCAATTGAGAAATAATTTTATTTTTCTAATGAATTTTAGTAAATATTATTATTTTTTATTATTATAAAGATAAATATAATTTATTTATTTCATATATATACAATATGGATGTCAAATCGAAGATCATCAAAAGATGATTAATTTAATATATTATATATGTAAAACCAATAACAAATGCAAAAGTTATCAACCTTTAAAGTACATTTACAATTCAATAGCTAGTTGTAGGAAACAAATCAAAAGTCATGGATATATAGTCACTTAGTGATTCACTATCTAAAATTACAAAGAATTAAAGGATTATATTAGTACAATTGATATTAAACTACCTAAGTTAGCTAAATAATATTTATAGAATGCTCGAACCTGGATTATTAATTATTAATATATAATATTATTTGTCCAAACCTAACTACGAAGCATGATTTTTCGCCAAGTATGATTTCGAAGCACCAGAAACAGCCACTTAGGCTCAGCATATTCGGCAATTATATATAGGGAATTGAGAAATAATTTTATTTTTCTAATGAATTTTAGTAAATATATTATTTTTTATTATGATAAAGATAAATATAATTTATTTATTTCATATATATACAATATAGATGTCAAATCGAAGATCATCAAAAGATGATTAATTTAATATATTATATATGTAAAACTGATAACAAATACAAAAGTTATCAACCTTTAAAGTACATTTACAATTCAATAGCTAATTGTATGAAACAAATCAAAAGTCATGAATATATTAGTCACTTAGTGATTCACTATCTAAAATTATAAAGAATTAAAGGATTATATTAGTACAATTGATATTAAACTACCTAAATTAGCTAAATAATATTTATGGATGCCCGAACCTAAATTATTAATTATTAATATATAATATTATTTTTCCAAACTTAACTACGAAGCATGATTTTTCGCCAAGTATGATTCCGAAGCACCAGAAACAGCCACGTAGGCTCAGCGCATTCGGAAATTATATATAGGGAGGATAGATTTTCCATAATTTGTGAATATTAGGGGGGAATCGGACATAGATTATTAAAAAAAATCTTAATAGATAAATTAAATTAACGTATATTTTTTTAGTAAAATAATTAAATATTTATGATGTTATATAATTAAAATCGATTTCATATAAAAATATTAATCTAAATAATTTACAGTTTAAAATATATAAGTAGTTGGATAGTGAAATTTATAGCAGAATATGGATTAATGATTATTTTTTAAATTATTTTAACAAAATTGATGGTTAAACATTATGATTAAATGAATTGTT